CTGTTAACCCGAGAAAGATAACCTACGTCGCAGAGGCGCCTGCGAAGACTGTTGATTTTTGTTAATTTTTCATAGAGGTCTAGTGATTTAAGTTTAAAATTGCTTAAAATATAAAAAAATATAATATAAATGCATTTTATTTTTACAATAATGCCAAACCTTTAAAATGACTAGATTAACTTAAATAAATATCCATTGTTAGTATAAAATTGACGCCTTAGAAAAGCATGCGCCTCTGAAGCGTATGGTTATCTTTTACGTACGTTGTCATATGGTTATCTTTCTAGGGTTAATCGAAACTAAAAGGTAACTGTGATCGTCAAGAAGAAAATTAGTTAATCGAAGTTGAATGTTTTCCGAACATGGACACAGTAATCACTAGAATGCGGATGCAAAATAAAACTGTTCCGAATTAATTGCAATGTACTGGAATCAAATGAACATTCGTTTCTCCCTTAAATAATCGTAATCCGCTGATGATAATATATTTACACTGTTATATTCTCTTAATCCCCTTACTATCTTTTGTTTCATCTACTAATTATTGTCGTAAATGCGTAAAATCTGCAGTCTAGTAGCCACCGAGTATATTTTTATAGTTATTAACTCGTTAGACGCGTTATGGTCTGGTAAAACAACGTCATTTCTATACAATCTGTTTAAAGATTGTTCAAATAAGTCTACCAAAGCCAACAAAATGCATTGTTTATAATTTGAATGTTTAAACTCTAAATGATCGTTACAGGCTCCGATAAAATCAATTGAGAAACATAATTTTTTGCATATTTTCTTTCGCCGCTTTAGTCAATTGTGATTATTGCAACAAATTTTTTAGTCGTTGTCAATTAAACTAGACTTTCCAACAGCTCAGAGAAAATCAAGTCATTCGATCCAATTTTTATAAATATATTTTATTATATATTTTTAATATATTTTATATATTTTATTATATTAGTTTTCAACACACCAAAACAGAAAGTCCATTGTTTAAAGCGTATTCATAGAAATTCTTACGTTTGTTTCAATTTGCCACCTATCAATTTATATTTTGTATATCACAAATTAGTTGTGCAACAATCTAATATTTGGATATCTTGTTACATACAGTCATATAGAAGAAACTATAGATATTTATAATATGTTAACTACTGTATATTATAATGTACGACCCGTGTACCCAAGTGTTACTCGCGTACAAAAAAGTACACGGATTAAAGCACGGATATATTAACGTCTGTTAAACTGTTACAAACAATTCCATGGGCGATGTCCGCGTAAATATGTGCGACTTCAACTGAAACTAACATTCGGTGAGGGTGTCGAATATGCTAGAAATGACTTAAGTAGTGATTTTGATAAGTGTGTAGATTTACCAAGCTATGACAAACTGTATTACTGTCTCGAGTCTACGATTTTGTTCTCAGAAAACCACTAAAATGGGACGACAAAGTTTTATATAAATTTGTTCGATAACCGGGGTGCCCTTATAGGAGAAAAGAATAGAAAGCGTAAGGAAGGAATAGAAATTAATAAAAATAATATTTTATTGCTGTAATAAATATAAAGTAAATAAAAATGACTGTTTATATAATAATATGAAAGTTACATAAAACAAGGTAAAGTAGTTTAATAAGAGAAGCTCACCATAGGGGTACTCGAATGCCCCAGTTATACAGGGTGTCCCATAATTATGTATGTATTGTATTAACACCCGAAAAAAGATGATTCCCGAGATCATCTGAAATAACGTTTTCCTTAGCGAAAACGCAATTCGCGGCTTTGCTTGCGAGTTATTAACGAAAAACACTGTCCAATCGGAGAGCGAGTACGGTCGGCGCTCCGCCTTTGCGGTCAATGCCGCGTAGTCGTCTGACGCAGCAATAGTGATCGCGAGAGGGCGGGGCGTCAGCCGTACACGATCTCTCATTGGTCAGTGTTTTTTCTTTAATAACTCGTAAACAAAGCCGCGGATTGCATTTTCGTCAAGGAAGAAGTTACTTCAAATGACCTCAGGAGTCACCCCTTTCCGGGTGTTAACACAATTATGGAACACTCCGCAAAGCAACGTCGACAATTTCGTTTATTTACACAAGGGTTAATATTCCGTTTCCGTTTGATTGCACAGACAACCCTCTGATCTGCGATTGCGAGCTACGGTGGTACGCCGCATGGCTGAGCAACCTGCGGATCAACGCGGACGAGAAGATGTTGACGAAGCGCACCGTGTGCACGATGCAAAACGAACACCGGGAGTACGCCCTGGAGAATATACCTCTGGAGAGAATGGGTTGCGTCGGGAAGAACGCCGGACGGACGTCGTCGTCGGCCAGCAACTATCGCGTCCACGTCGGCACGATGATCGAGTTGCTGGCGTTGGTCGTCGCGGTGGTCTAATTGCGACCGGTCACGCGACCGCCGACAATCATCCCGGTTAACGAATCCCCGTTTCCTCTCGTTTAAGAACGCGCGTTTTCCTTTTCGCCCCCTTCCGGTCGCCGCCATTATCCGCCGTAAACTTTATCGTTATCATTATCAGTCGCAGCCCGCGCGCGATCGTGCCGCAGATGCGGAGACACGGTACGATTCCGTCGGCGATTTCTCCCGGTATCATTGCGGCGACGATCATCGAGTCCGCCGAATCCCCTCAGCGAACACCACACTCAGTCGGGGGGTATATGTCGAAAACGTGCTACGATATATATATATATATATATATATATATATATCTATATATATATATATATATATATATATATATCTATATATATATATATATATATATATATATATCTATATATATATATATATATATATATATATATCTATATATATATATATATATATATATATATATCTATATATATATATATATATATATATATATATCTATATATATATATATATATATATATATATATCTATATATATATATATATATATATATATATATCTATATATATATATATATATATATATATATATCTATATATATATATATATATATATATATATATCTATATATATATATATATATATATATATATATCTATATATATATATATATATATATATATATATCTATATATATATATATATATATATATATATATCTATATATATATATATATATATATATATATATCTATATATATATATATATATATATATATATATCTATATATATATATATATATATATATATATATCTATATATATATATATATATATATATATATATCTATATATATATATATATATATATATATATATCTATATATATATATATATATATATATATATATCTATATATATATATATATATATATATATATATCTATATATATATATATATATATATATATATATCTATATATATATATATATATATATATATATATCTATATATATATATATATATATATATATATATCTATATATATATATATATATATATATATATATATATGTATATGTATAAGTATATGTATATCGCGCGATCGAGATTGTCGAACGAAAACGTCGGGTGATGCGGGTACAATACGCGTGCATCCGCGCATCGTTCGAGAAGCGGACAGATATTTCACGAGATTCAACGTCCCGCGGCTCTGTTCGACTAATTTACCGTGGATGATTCGAAAGTAAACCCGCGGTTGAACACACGGGCACTCGTGTGCCCGGCACGGGAAAGTATAGAAAGTAAATTGTAAGATCGACGAGTAAGATGTGTTTGTACGTTTAATACTGAACAACTGTGTCCGTGGAAAATATTTACGGCGATGGTTTGTCGAATACATATCAACAGTGCTTTTATAAACGTCGAACGTAACGCTAACTGGAAATATAATCGATTGTTATTGTGTATTTCGGGTAGGAACGAATCGAAGGGAAGCAAAGTGCGGTCGCTCGATTAGCGAGAGGCTCCGGGGCTGTTGGCAACGGGGCTCGGGCTTATCGAGCAACCAATCGCACGTTCTCTTCTACGTTTGTCTTATGCTCGTGACTATACATTGATGATTTCGCGGTATCGCGTTCTCGATTTCTACCGATATCAATGTTCAACGATTACCAAATAGCCAACAAATGATAGTGAACAATTGAATTTTCCGGCACGGCGACACGCCGAAGTAGAAATCGAATCGTAACGTGTGAAGCGAAGGAATCTCGATCGTGACGTGTGCGACAGAACAGGGTGAAACGAAGGCTGTGCCCGATCGATCGGCGATCGGGCGGGCCTCGATCACCGAACGTTACATATCAAGATTGTTGCCAAGTGTTTTCTGGATATCTGTTAAAAGCGAGAATCGTAGTATACTCGATAGAAAATTCGAATGTCCGACGTATTTAGCTATCAACTACATATATGGATCCACGGTCATTCGTCTCATACATATCAACACGCGTTTCTCAAACTCTCGGGGCGAGTCATCGACATAACCTTCGTTTACTTGCAATTCGTACGTCACATTCTCGATCGAGAAAAGTAGACCGGCCTTTCTCATTCGCGCGATTAACAAATCGATTTCAGACACACCGTGGTACCCGAACGAATATTCGAAAGTTTCGAGCGAGCAGCTATCGGCGATCGAAATGATCGTAGATCGGCCTTTATTATTTGCGCGATTAACGACGATCGCGTTCCAATTTATAATTAAACCGTGATGCTCGAACAAATATTCCGGAAGTTTCGTGTGCAATTGGTCATCGTTCGAACAATTTGTTTTCCCGATCGAACGAAGAATTCTCATTTATTTTAGACGATGACACTCGAACAACTGTTCGAACGTTTACAACATGAAATTATAAAAAAAGAAAATCATCTATGCGCGACTTTACCAACGAAACAGTCGAATGAAATCGATAATCGGATGAATACTCGGCTCGGCCTGTGTCTTCGTCTTGAGATCGCTCGGTTGCTTAACTCGATTCGCAAAGGACCGGCCTGTCGAAATGGAATAACGACGACTGATGGACCGTAATACACGCGACCGGAAGCCGACACTTGTCGATTCCGGTTCGAGCTTGAACGCGATCATTGAAGCGGCTCTCGTTGCATCTGTTTCGCTACAACAGACTTCACAGCTTGGAGGCACTTCGCGCCGCGATTAGGCGCGTCAGAAAATTATGCCCGTCTTTCAAAGCGACACCTCTCCCGCGAATCGGCCAGCGTGTCAGGTTACACGTCGCAGTTTCGCACGGCTGTCTAGTCATTAAGGCTCGAATGATTCGGGACGATAGTCGAGTTGCTCCATTCACCTAGCGACGCGACCGCAGATTGTGACGTACGAGAGCACGTCGCTTCGCTTCTGTCTATGTTTGAACTGCGAAATGTGTTCGAAGTACATTTAAGAACGCACGACCTTTCAGAACCCGCAATATTTTTCGATCTCTGTGGAAACTAACAAATAGGTTTAAAACCGCGAAACGAGGAAAGTAAAACTGACGAATTCCGATGTCAACGGGCACAGCGAACGCTGACGCAATAGAGGATTATACATATCGTAGAAAATGATTAATTGCCCTCCCGTGTATGTTCGTTGAGACGACTCGTAAGCATCGTCGAACACCTTTCGTAGACCGTAGCGATACAATATTATTGGACTACGGACTTTATGCATAATAACGTGACTATCGCCCGTACCCCGGATACGGGACACGATGGACTCTACTAAGCGGTGACTTAGACGGAGTTAATTGCGTTCGTTCGTTCGTTCGGATTTCATTGGAACGAAGGGCGACGATTACGCTTGCCGTCTACAAATCTGTCCACGAACGTGTAAAACTTGCAGGAAAATCCGTAGTCCGGCTATTAACGATGATACGTTCGCGGGACGACGCGACACGCCGCTGGAGCATTCACGTGGAAAGTAAACTACACAAGTATTTTACACTTGGATAGACGATTTAACGGTACGATAGGATTAAGAGGTATTGATATTACGAATAATAATAACAATTGCATATCGAAATTACGTAGGATAACTTGCTAACGGTTAGAACGGTGACGCGATCTCGGCTTCTACGGACGTCGAAGGAGAGCCTGTCGGAAACTCGAACGATAACCATTTCTCTGAACACATTACATAGATACGCAGGGATACGTCTGTGATGACGCGTCGTTTAACACGTAATTTTACTTTAATTATAAACGCAATATAATGTACACGTACGATGTACGTATCTGAGATTCGTCGAGGCGTCGGTGTCTCGACACGGGAAAATTGAAAATACGGCGGACGAGTTCTCTCCTTCGGACGGAGACCGATGGTCCTGCGTCTCAAATATAACACAACATACACATATCATTTATACGCCCAACTTTGACTTGTAAGATAACGGTTAATTATTATCGACGTAAGGCTTCACCGATGTAATCTTTAAAGATCGTATACATATCGTGAACGTATGAGATTTAAGAGAATTTATTTGTTAATATATATATTATATATATATATAAAATATATGTACGTTGCATATAGTATATACACATTATTACGATCGTCAAAGATATATTATATATCTATATATTATATATCTATATATACGCATTGAATGTTTTTTCTAAGAAGTTTCAACGATAAGAAAACCGCAAAGCTGTTATTTGCGCGCTGTCGCTCGAAAGCGAATCATTTCCGTTTTGTTTTCGAGACAACATTATTTATAACATATCTTCGTGTTTACACGCTTTGTTTTCCGAGGATCTGTCGGTTTTATTTTGTCTGTCCTTCGAATACACGAATAAACGTGAAACTTCTGCGCAGCGCTGAACGGTACGCCATGTGCGATTCTTCGCGGGCCCTACAATTTTGCTTAGAATCCACGGGAAGCATATTTGTCGGCGCATCCTCTCGGTGATCATACAATTTCATCGAGACTCACGAACAGCAGAACGCAAATAATGATAAGTTTAACAAAAGTAACAGTAGAAGCAAAAGTAAAGTATAATAGCAACGTTTAGAATAGTGACAGTTGCGAGAAGTGAGTCCGGGGTTTGAATCCCAATATCAAAGACTGACTGAATCGCAAAGGAAAAGATAGGACTGTAAGTACAAATTGCTATTGAACTCCATCATGCGTTATTCCATTCGAAGAACAATAATTTCGATCAATTATTTTCTGGAAAATCATTCCTTAGCTTCAACGAGTTAAATGCTTCGCAGAACGGCTTGCTGGTTTATACCAGCACGATATAATCAATTACGTACATTATTATCACGAACTGACTTGCTATTTGCAATCGGTGATAATCGTTTGCAATTAGACTCTTTCTAATCACGTTTACGTGAACGTTAAAAGATTCTGTTGTCCCGAGATCTGCTTTACGAAATCAGCAAATAGTCTCCGAATTTTATGTACTCATGGCAAAAATTAATACACAGAGATCGGTATTTCGTGGAATCTGAAAATATTGTTGCATCATTCTCAGCTGACTAAAGTTATTGAAATGGGAAACGATGTCCTGCATCTTGCAATATTGATGCGGGCAACCTTCATTTGCCTCGATT